ATCATGAATATACTTTAAAAATTATTTGTTGAGTATTAATATTAAAATATACTTTAAAAATTATTTATTAAATCGATATAATTATTGCATTATAAGCAACTTTGTCTTGTGAAAAATATTTTTTGGTAAATTTTAACAATGCTGCAAAAGCTATCATGTTTGCATCATAAAAAGTATTATGTTGACTTAAAAAATTGTTACAAATACATTTGTAATACTAGTATTTGCAGCATTTTGCAACACTTTATATATTGCTGCATAATCACTTTTCGGACAATTAATTTTATAAGAAAACGGAAGAAAAAGAAACAGATGGGTGGGTTGTGTACCTCGTCAGTTTTATCTTGATATGAAGAGGAGATCGAGCAAAGTCAATGCACATCATTGATGGGATGGTTTATATACTATTTTTTAGTATCAGTGATTAACAAATATCCAATAAAGCTTCGGGTGTAATTAAAAGGGGTTTTAATGTATAATTTAAGATTTTGATTTGAGATAGACATGATATATCTAGTTCTGGATAATTATTGATTTATGTCAATTGCTTAGTAATTTGCTACTGCAATCATCAAGCATGCCAATGCTTAGAAAATATTGTATATTATTTTGTTGAATTTTGACCGAAAGAGAAGGGATCGATAAGCTAAGATCAGTGCCCATATGTTTTTGATTTGTTCTCTGACTCAAGCTTTTATGGTTGAATTTAAAAATGGAAAAACAAAAAATAAAGGAAGATAAAACCAAGCTTTCTAAAAGCATTCAAAACAAAATTAATAAAGTAATGAGCAGGGCATCTTATTCAACACCAAGGGGAAGCCCAAACTCATACTGCTTAATAACATTTCATTCTGCATTTGTTTTATTTTTATAGAAATTTACAAAAAAAATGGGAAGCGAGAGAAAGAGAGCGAGATACGAACAATTAATTTTATATTTTGCAATCTTTTTTGCGGACAATTAATTTTGATTCATACATAGGGAAGTCATTTATTTTATTTTATTTTCATAATTGAAATAATTAAGTCCTTTCAATTTTAAGACCATATTGATTTTCATTCTTTGATATTTCAAAAGAGATAATGACTAGTAGATGGATAAAGAGGAAGTAGGAGTATAGAGGAAAAGATGTCATTGATTATATTTGCTCATGTTTTTTTACATATGCTATTAATGATAGATTCTTTAATAGATTCTTCATTCTTGAATAATATATTTACTAATTAATTAATTCTTTTTTAGTGATAGATTAAAGATTTCAATGACAAGTGAAAGCGAGAATCTAGCTCTTGCTCCTAGTGATGCTACTACGCAACCTACTCCTATTGGCATGCCGTCATCGTCACCAACGCCAACTACACAACAAACCATAATCTCCACCAATGAAAGTGATGCTGTCAATTCTAAGAAACGAAAAGCACTTCCATCGAAGTCTGAAGTTTGGAAACACTTCACCAGATTCGTCAATGATCAAGGTGAACAAAGAGCTAGATGTAATTATTGTGATAGGTACTTTATGCTAATACTAAATATAATGGCATAACTTCATTAAAGAATCACATGAATTCTTGTAAAAAGTTTCCTAGTTCTGCTAATGATTTTACTCAAACTAAGTTAGCTTTTCAAATGGGCGATGGGTTAATAGGAACTTAAAAATTTAGTCAAGAAGCCATTAAAAAGTCTCTAACTAAGATGATCATCAGAGATGAGTTAACTTTCAGATTTATAGAAGGAGAAGGATTTAAGGAATTTGTGTCAACTTCATGTTCTAGATTTATTGTGCATCACGATGGACTATTACTAGAGATTGCTATAATCTTTTTGTTGATGGAAAAACCATTTCAAGCATATATTGAGAACATCTTCTTTTAGAGTTTCTCTGACCATAGACACATGGATATCAATTCAAAGAGAGAATTATATGTCTTATGGCTCACTTTATAGACAATGATTGGAAATTGTACAAAAGAATTTTAAACTTTTATCCCATTTATAGTCACTAAGGTGAGGCCATTGGAAAAATGATTGATAAATGTTTGCGTGATTGGGGGATTAGTAAGGTTTTCATTATTACTGTTGATAATGCTAGCT